TCATACAAAAATTGAGAAAAATCTACAAACCACATCAATGCCCTTGCAAGTGCCATAAATTTATAATTGTTTCATATAAAAGAATTGCTGAATACACCACCTGTTAAACCACAAGAGAGCTGAGACTGCTACACAGTTTTAATTTGCACAAAAAAGAAATAATTTATTTTGAAAGGCTGGACATATTCTATCACAAAATTTTATGAGGAAGGTATCTATTTTTCAGGTAACTAAATCCATAGACCTCAGATATGACAAGTCTCATCTTGGAGTTAAAGTGTGACTGACTTTATATTAATGCATAATAGGGAAGGAGTTCTTGTTGGATGACTTTCCCTCCAAGTAGAGAAATGTCATATTGCAAACCTTCCATATAGAGGGCAAAAGAACTCCACACACACAAGCAACTGCCATTTAAGATTTGGTCCTCAAATATTCTGAAACAGGCTGTTTCTGCAGTAGTTTGGACCTTCCTTATCCATATTCCTACCCTTGACACATACATGGATTTTGTGCACCCTGGTTTACCCCAACCTCTTAGATTGCAACCTCCCAAGTGTCTCCCTGTCTTTTACTGGAGAATAAAACTATCTTATACTGGTTTTCAACAATACATGAAACTTTCATTTGAGATCCTGCATCTTAGCTCCTGGCAGAACATCCCTGCACCATTTCACTGTCTATTTGATTTTCTGCCTTTCTAGCCTGTACCTTTCTTCCCCAAGAATGCTAGTGCCCTCCATATACAAAGAGCTCAGCTGGAGATCCACTATTCCTTCCTGCAAGCCAGTATAAAGCTGCATTTCCCTAACTGAAAAATTTGAGCTTCCTGAGAAGGGGAAATAAATTCTGCCTGCAGTGCAACAGCCACACTAAGTCCACCTGGCTTAGCTCTGTTCACACTGTGAAGGGGAAGCAGAAGTGATGGGCAGTAGTTCTTGCACAGCCAATACTCACTGCAACACATGCACTGTAAGACTAGACCCATAGCTTTGATGTCTTAAAACTTTTTTTCCTTGACCCAGTTGCCTAGAAATAAGTGAGGACTTTTAGAGGGAGTTGGAGAGAAAGAAAGGGAAGAGGCAAAGACCTTAAGGAATACTCCTGTACATTTCTGCCTCCCTGGTCTGTTTGTCATCTTTATGTATTGTAAGCCCAATACAGAGGGGCCTCCTGCCAGCTACAGAAATGTTACTTGAATGCAGCAGCCTTCCAAAGGTCCTGCCAAAATGCAGCTGTGGAGCAGACCTGAATACACCCAGTGTATCCTGCAGTTCTTTCAACCTTTTCCTTGTCTAGTGAATGAGATTTCACTGAGACATGTGACAAACACCCAGTCATCCCCTGCTATGCATTGCCAGGGCACACAGGCACCTAGGAGCTGGTACTCAGGGCACATTCTCCCTAGTTCCTGTGCAGTACATACCCTTTCCCCACCTCCTGGACCTGGCACAAGATGCAAACAGCTCGGGAGAGACAGAATATTTGTCCACCTATGACTCCAAAGTAGAAAAGAAACACAATGCTGTTCTGGGAATGAGGTTGTTTGAATTGAAGTAATTCAAAACAGATAGGAAATTAGTGGATACTTTTCTTGATGTGTGAGGTTTCACTAGTGTACCCCTGAAATATAGCTAAAAGTAGAATGACTTTCCAAGTAAGAAACTGAAGGAAGAATTCTGTAACTAACATGGTCCTGCAGAACTCTATCCAGAGCTCACCCTTGTATACGTGTACAGATAAATCACACCCTTACAGGGAACCAAAACTAAGCAGTACAAGAGTTTAAGGGATTAAAGACTTATTCTGGAGATTGGATTTATTCCTGGCATAGTCAGCAGCTCCAATTCACCTTTCAACATCTCAACTTTATCTTAAAACCAGCAATAATAAGAGCTCACCAGCAATAGCACAAATCATTGTGCCCAGCTTTGGGCACAAAAGCTTTTTTGTTACTTTTTGCCTTTTTTTTTTTCCCCTTTTTTTTTTCTGCACACAGCCCCAGTTCTGCCACAAAGGAGATTCAGCATTTCTACCTGATGTTCCCCATTTCTTGTTAAAAAGATCATTGTAAAATCTGACCTCCTCACCCTACCCCCAAAATGTTTCACATGTAAAGTGTAGTCCTCCCTCTAAAAATCTAATACTTCAGAAGCACTACTTTAATAAATAAGAAATCTGAAGCAGGATCTCCTGAGTGAATCTCACTGTTACAAACATCAAGAGAACACTTCTTTCCAATTTTATCTACTCTAGGCCCAAAAGATGCCTAACACAACACCAAGCACTCTAATCAATCTTCGCTGCCCATTCTTAAGTTGATGGGGAGTCATGGCAAGAGCACACATGCTCTTGTCTTCTGTTTCACAGCCCTGGGAAGTTTGAAGGTAGGACACGGAGCCAGACTGCAAGTGCAGCTGCTTCCCAGTGGAGTAATTCCAACATGGCTGATCTTTCTCAGAAAGGAGAGGGAATGTAGAAAGGCAAAAACTGAGAAGGGAACTTCCCCTGCCCTGGAATTTTCTCTCCATGAAGAGGTATACAAATACATAGCCTACAGGCACAATTCACAGGATCCAGCAAGAGAAGCAATGGTCTCTTTAAGTTTGAGAGACAATCAAACACTGGTATAAAAACTAGGTATCTTTCAGCTTTTATGTAAGTTTTATGTTTGCAAATTGATCTTTTACAGAGTCTTGCTGGAATGTAATGTACATTTACTTTAGCAGACATTCAAAAAATGGTTGCACCTACAAATTACTGTTTTCTGTATCTCAAACATCTATTATTTAAGGCATTTTATTAATATTTTAAGATGTGTGAACAACGTGTACAACCTTGGAAGACACAAAACCCCTTGAAATTTGTGCTTCTATATAAATATGCTTGTAGATACTTAAATATTGCGGTCATAAATTTATTTTCTCTTATGTTGCGTGTGTCATGAACTCTTGCCTACATGAACAACAAGAATGCCAAAAAATCTCCTAAGTCTGGCCAGAAGTGCAGTATTTATACTTGAATTAAAATGAATTCCATGTGCAAGCTAAAGTAGCACTCCATCAATAAAACATTTCAACCACTGTCTGTGGTATGGCACTGAGGCATCTCTTTTCAGCTTTATCTGACACTAGGGATTTCTTGCTTTACGTAGCTAAGAATCAACAGAGAACTATTTAAAGTATATCTTCAAGTACTTTGTTTCATTTATTTCTAATTTAAAGAACTATAGGAAGACTTGGGTGTGCATGAATACATAAACAAGTATACATTTGAATTTTCATAACATAACTTCTTCACATTATGGAATTTTTGTATTATAAACACTTCCTAGCAGGTACTCACAATTTCATAAAAATGCTCCCCTTTCTTTTTCTAGATCTAAGCCATTAAGTAATTTGCTTGTTGACAGCTGGAATAAAACACACTAATTTCTAAAGCAGAGGAACATGAAAAATATTTTTTCCTATTTGCCATTCTCACTTCTCATTCAGAATGGTTTCATGTAAGTCTAGATATGTTTCAGTACTGAATCACATCCAATATTAAAATATAAACATGACTATATGAAGGATCTAGAGAGGAAAGGGAATTTGAGAATTATGTAACCAGGAGAGAAGACCCTTATTAGTAAAGAGGCTGGTTCAGAAATGGCCTAATGAAACGATTTCTGGGAGTTCACCAAGAGTAATGGGTTTAAAGTATCCTCTCCAGAAAGACCTTGAGTCTTCATTAAAAAGTATCATGGTTATTTCTCTGAGCTCCCAGAAAGAGGTGGTCCATAAGATAGAACAAGCTATTAGTAGACTGACTGATTTGAAAACACCTTGAACTGTAACTACATGCAAATACGTAGTTACCTATGTAATTACTGTACCATGCAAAATGTATATATTGTGTGTTCATTAGGGGATAGCTGAGCAAGTTACATTCTGAATGCTACACAAGATTTCACTTGCAAAGGGCTATTTCAGCATAGTCAAAATGACAAGAATATAGAGGTCCAATCTAGAAAAGATAAGGCACAAAGAATTGTAGAGACTTGTATTATCCATGGCTTTCTGTATCTCTTTGGCTACAACCAGTAGCACAGGTTCCAGACACATGAACTGAGAACAAGCAGTGCAAATGCACTGAAAACTGTTAAAAGACTAAGTTACTCTTCTACAAGGAGCCAAAGATTTTGCTTATTCCTCACAAATATTTCTGCTGTACCAAATGCCAGCACCATCATTTTATCAGTCGGATGTGTGTACTCTGTAGCTTTACTCAAAAAAACAAATAAACCAGTGCTTTTATTAGTAACTTACAGTACATAAATTCCAGTGTAAACTTGTAAAGGCATTTCTCCTTAGGGAAAAACATAATTAGTTTTAGAGTTTTCCAGAATAGTAGAGGATTGTGGGTTTTTTTAGAGGTTTCAGACATACATAGAATTCCAAACATCTATATTTATAGGTTTCAAAAGATTTTCAACAAGCCTGTGTAAAAAACCCTTCTTTTTTTCTTTAGAGAATGCCTGTTTATCATACATTTTCTTGTCCACTAACAGCATCTATCCAGACATAAGACCACTTTAGAATTACTTCAGTCATGCATTAATCATAATTGATGAAAGACTTTAGGCATATATTCAGTTTTAATAAAAACTCTTGAAAGTTATTATCCACATAAAGAAATACCTTGGAAAGTTTCACCCAAAAAGCAAAACAGAAACCCAATAATTAATAAAGAGATTATACCATCTTAAGTTTTAAATAACACTGAACAGATGGTTTAATCTAAGGGTCTGCGTAAGCCAAAACCAGCAGATTAAAAAATAGGCAGGAGAAATGGGTGCGTGTCAGGAAAGTCCATGGTTCCAGGGTTTGAACATACTATGTAGCAGGGGTATTCTAAAATATGTGGAAGGTGGAAATAATGAGGAACTGGTCTGGTGGCCTCAGACATAGAAGGTAAAAAGTAGCTGTTTATAAAATTTATCAATGCTTCTTATTTACCTTTAAATATTTTGCAAGTTTCTGAATTCCCCAGTATTCTGATGGCAAATCTGTGCCTCCTTCATGATGACGTACAGGCTGTTCTTCATCTTCCTCAGTCTCTGAGGAACTTTCACTAATATTATCAAACCTGGCTGATGTTTTACTAAAAATAAAGAACAGCATTACCCATGTTAAACAGCTATAAACTAATAAGAACAAGCACATTTTAAACAGGTATGACAACACTGCCTAGTAAAAGAACTAGAAAAATATAACTGACATTACCAAATATTAAGTATGGTGATAATTACTGTAAATACTGAAAAAAAATTAAAATTTGAAGAAAGAAGAATAAGTAACCCATACCGTTTTGAAGCTGGTTGTATTTTAGCAGATTGAGAAGAAATGCCATCGCCTTTCTTTTTGATTTTTGGAGACACAGTACTACTTCTCCTTCTATCTTCCTCAGCATCTTTTCTTGTAGCTTTGTCAGTAACATGTTTCTTTTTATTAAAAAAAAAAAATAAAATTTATATATATACATAGAACTAAAAAGATATAGTGGGACTTATGTCAGTATGTATGAGCTTATGAAACTACACAATAAATTCCATTAAAGTGTGCTGTGTCTTACCTAATTTAATAGTGGAATATTAGAAAAAATGTATTATGCTGACCTGTATGTGATACAAGAACAAAGAATAAGTATATTCATACAGACCACAGGTCCATTTGTCCTAGCATACCACCTCCAACCATGACCAGTAACAGCTATCTAGGTAACAGCAGGTGAACTATGGAAGAACATGGAAATTTTTTTTTTCAGCATATTCTTCAGAAAATTGTGATTCACACACTCCTGATTGTCTATCACTTTTGGATGAATTTGTCTTCCACGAATGTGGCTGATTGCTTTTTGAACTCACACAAACAAATAGCCTCTACCATCCCATAGTAAAGAATTTGATAGCTTAGCCACGTGTCACATGAAGAAGTCTCTCCCTTTGTTCTGTTCTGAACTGGTCTCACTGGCTCTTTCCATTTGATGCCCTTCATTCTTGTATTAGAACAGACAGTGACTATTTGTTCCCTATTCACTGCCTCCAGTCATGATTTTCTGTATCTGTCTTATTGTCCTCCCAGTCATCTTGTTTCCAGGCAGAAGAGTTCTAGTCTGCCTAGTTCTTCCACATGCTCAGCTGTTCCATACCTTTTATCATGTGGAATACAATATATCTTGCTTTCCTCATATCCCAAGAAGCCTAGCTGGACACAATCGCCTGTACTTTCTTGTCCCTAATTTACAATGCTGTGAAAACAGAATGTCCTTTCAAGCCTGGGCTGGTCATACTATCACAGTCACAACAATAAAATAGAATACTACTCATGATTACAGCCAATTTTACTACATCTAGACTGTAACAATGGCTGTGGAAAAAGATAAGCTCTTGCCCTGGAAAACCACATTTCTTAACTGATGACTGTAGGTCACATCCAAAATCTCTTAAAATATTTCTTGCAACATGTCAAATTGGCAAACTTGAGAAGAAACTTTTTTTCTGTAGGATGTAGACTTTCCTTCAGATATTCTTCTTCCTCAATTAACACATAACCAGGAAACATGAAATCAGAACAGAGTTCTGATTTCAGAAGACAAATCCAACAATACCCAATGTAAGTATACTCTACTTTTGTGTGTCCAAACTTTTAGGTAATCTCATTAGTGAAGATTGTTGCTAAGCATAGCTAGAAAAGTGGCTCATATAATATTAAATCATTAAAAATTGTAGCATAAGTAAAAGTCATCCTGATTTTCCATCCTGGATCTCTTTCGCCTCTCTCAGAGAGTGTGGTTTAGATTAGACGGTCTACTTTGCCTTGTATTAAAGGGCATTTTACACCAAAAATACGACAGTATCAGAGTCCTGGAGGATCAGTACGGCAGATGGTTACAAGATATTTCCCTGCTTTGCTGTGGAAATGACATAACAACATCAAAGTCATTGCATAACAAAAAAACCTGTGAAATCTCTTTAGTAGTCTGTACTTTCTTCTGAGAAATTAGTAGTAAATTTTGTTTTATTGCTCTTAACATAAAAATGCAAACCTATCACATGCAGTCCAATCATCAGCAGTTTAGAGAGATCTATAGGAAAATTTACTTATAAAGACAACTACTTATCTGCGGAGAACAGAAAGCCCAGCATTCTTCCACTTGATAGATGGTTCCAATTTCTTCTTTTCAATGGATCTCCTTGACACAGAACTTTTTACTTTCTCACCTACTTTCTTTTCTGTAAAATCATGAAGGCTCTGGGATTGGCCAGAGACCTTAGCCTCAACTACTCCCATACGCTGGAAATTCTTCTCATATGTTGGTTCCTTAAAAAACCTGTATTCCTAATAAAAGGAGACATGGTTTGCCAGTCATATTACTATACGAATAATGCATATTAAAACAATAAGTTCAATTGGTAACACAATTCCAGGACGCTGTGCTTAAAAATTGTTATGTATTAAATATAGAATTAGATTATAAGCATAAAATCAGATTGCTTTTAAAAGAATTAAGCATTAATCTGGAAAGTAGCTGTTACCATGTGCAAAATAAAGCTTTTGAAATAAATGAACTCAATAAATTTGGAACTTCCTTGAACATACATTAATATTGGGTGTTGTTCAAATTCTGATATATTAAATAATTTGTGACACAAGCACTTTTATAGAACCTAATTCCAAATTAGTTTTAAGATCTAGAACTGCAAAGTCAGTCATTCTGCTTTCAATGGATCATTTATATTAAAACTATTTGCTTGCATGAAGGATTAACAAAAAATTCCCACCAAAAAAAAAAAACCAAAACAAAACAAAAAACAAAACAAAACAAAACAAAAAAAAAAAACCCACAAAAAACCTGAAAATAGGTTATGATAAACTGCTAGACTTCAGGTCCAAGTAACTTAATTTGATATAGCTTAGAATTTATATAAACACATTCCATTTCAGTTTTTTACATCTTCTGTCTCTTAGGACAAAATATTGTTGAACAAATCAGATAGGAGAATGGAGCTGAGTGGCACCTACCAATCCTTCAGCTGTCTGTGTTGAGTACCACAGCTGATCAAAAATATCCAGAACAGTGAGGACTCTTGTCAACTCTTACTCTCTACTGGAACATGTTCAATTTTTACAGGAAAGACAGCGTACAACCATTAATTATTATTATTGCAGCTGTCACTACCAGATAGGTGAAGACATTCCTTTCCCTCTCTGATTCAAGGCAGTTTTAAGGAGACTGTCACAGTATAGTCAGTTTTCGACTAGCCCTTGATGTGAATCGGCTGTTCCACACTTGCTGACCCAACTGTCTCATCATAAAACAACTCATGCTAATTCTCTCATTCTGAAAGTGTACTCTAAACAGGACAATTTAACACATGATAAACAATACAAATCACAGGGAAACTGATGCTGCAGCTTGACCAGCTAAGCACATGCTAAAAAGTATGTTTCCTACAGCAGTATATGCCAACTCAGCAATTCCAAATGTTAAACAAGGCAAAGAAGATATTATAAAAATTAACTGGTTTTGCAATATATTTGTATGTGATGAGCTTTTTGAAGCTCTTCTCAGATTTCAGGTAGGCAATCTTGGAAATACAGCTTTTCTCTGCTTTTCAGAGTCCTACAGTAGAGATTTTCCCTCAGATACAAATGTTCTGCAGCTCTACGGTAGTAACTCGTTTAAATTCTACTTTTAGAATGCAGAATATACTAAACCAGCTCTTCAGCAAAGCAGTATGATATGGTATTCCTAAACCATTAAAATGGTATAATTTGTACTCTTCAGCATAAACTTATTTACACAGTCAGGCAGAACTAAGTGATTTATATGATAATTGAAGGAAAATAAAATAAATTCTATTTAGTCTTCTTTAATAAGTGTACACATTTCTTGAATATCTACAATATCTTTGTAAAAGCAGAAAACCAGTAAAGAAAGTTATGTTACCCCATTATTGATATTAACATTAATCTATATTAACATTTAGAACTGTAAATCATTGTTAAAATGTTAATGTATTTTACCTTTCAAGACCATCAAATGAAGCCAAATCATTTTGAAAATACATTAAACAAATAATTATGTCTAAAAACATTCATATATTGTCACATTTATGAAACATAAACCAATGTGCAGATATACCATAAAAAAAATACTTGTCTATGGGTCAAATAACACATTTATTGAAAACAACAATTTAAAAAGTTAGTTTCGTCACTGTTAATATAAGCTACTGTATTTGTGTGTACAACTTGAAATGCTCTGTTCTTTCTGTCAAATACCTATTTCTCAAAAAATATAAATATCAGCCCTACATCCCAGAAAACCACAACTACAGGATAAGAAAATTTCCATGTTAATTACCTCCTTCTTGCAATAATTAAAATTGCATATAAACAACCACAACAAAACTTTTTACAGATTTTAGCCTGTAATGAATTTTGCCACCACATTATTAATGTTATAACCACACTAGAAATCTGAGAAAAGTTTTTATCAGGAATGATGAAATGTGTAAAATTGAAGTGGCACTGTGTGATTCTAGTTAATATAGAGTAAAATACCTGCATCTTACATTGGATGAAGCAACACATAGTGCGTAAGCTGCAAGCTTAACTCTCAGTTCTGATATTTAAATCAGTCAGTTCTCATAAAAATGTTGGGCTATTATTTATATTTGGGTTACAAAGAATGGAGATAAAAATGTAAGTGGTTTTGATCATGGAAAAATATTGTCATAAGAAGTTGACCTTTTCTGAAAGGATATCATATTTTCCTGCTTTAACATTTCCAGTGCCTCATAGAGAGTAACACCAGAAGACAAGCAATACTTTTTAGGCAGAATTAGAAGCTGACCTCACATGTTGGATCAAAACTCATAATAAGATATGATAGAACAATATGTGAAATAGTGTATTAGTTGCTATTTACAAAAGGAACATATTTAGTAGAAACTGAAACATATCCAAAGAAAAATAACAAATGCAGTTTTTAGAATTCTTCATTTAATCACAGACTTATCTTTGGTAAAGAAAGGCTCAGCCAGGTTTATAATGTAATTTCTGACTACTGTACAATGTATGTTTGTACAAAGTAGAATATACACCCTATATCAGTAAGTACATACCTGTTTAGCCATATTTTCTACAAATTTAGGTGATCTCTCCCTTAAAAATGTGACAATATCTTTATATACATCACTTTTTCTTTCATAGTCAATGTGATCTTTACCATCTATTTGACCCTTAAAAAAAAAAAAAAAGAATAAATTTGAAATTATTCATAGTATTGCCTTATCCAGGTAATTTAATCTGCATCATAAAAAAGTGTTAAAAGAGCACAGAGGTCATATCGTACATTAAGTACATTAAGTACAGAACTCTCATGCTCAGAGTCTATTCAACTTCAATAATGTTTTGTAAAGATGCATGGATCATCTCCATGGATCCCAACAAAGGATCAAGATCTTACACAGAATTCTGCAAGTAATCACAATCAGTTAATTGTGCTGAGTGTAGTTTCACTGAAAAGAATTTATGGCTTATGGCAAACAACCAAGTAAATATGAGCTTTCAGTGCAATATAGCAGATGTCTAAAAGGATCAGGAGATAATGTGACCTGACTAGCCTCAGCTTGATGAGTTTCACCCATTAAAAACATGCAAAGTCAAAATTTCCCTGGATTTTTAACTCTTAGGAAATCAATTGGACTGATGGACTCTTCAAAATGAATTTAAGAGCTCTGTTCACCACTTAATACACATAGGGGATTATTATGTCTAAATAAAACCAATTTGTAATAAAAGAGGTAACCACAATTAAAAGTGGAAGAGTGAAATAATTCCCAGAAAGCTTCCATTGAAAGGAGAACATTCACAGAAAGACAAAAGCAAGCTATATTAGCCACACACAATCATATTACATCTCATATCAAGAGCAATGAGGCACTAGAGAGGCACCTAGTCACACAGTACCTTTAAAAAACAGTAGTGTGAAGGACATGTTTAAAGACTAAGCAAATACTGCTAGCAAAGAGTGCAGAATACCCTCATATATATATTTACCAAAAAAGTCCTCCACATATATGGGAAAACGAGCATGCATTCATTACTGTGCCTTCCCATCCTGTACCAATAAACTAGCTTGGCAGATCTCAATACCACAGCCTCAATACTGCTACCCTAAACCTGACTGATTCTTGATTTTAGGACATAAAAATATTCATTACTCCATGGTATCATTTATTATTACTTACTCCATTTAAAAACACTCCTGCTGTGCTGCAAGTGATACACAAAGGATCAGTGTCATGTGGGTTGATGACTAAGTAACAAATTTCTCCATGCACTTGTCTCCAGGGGGGAGCTCGGCATCCATTAGAGAACACGTAATCTGTAACCAATTAGCATTAGTGTTTTTATCCAGTTTTAAAGTATTTTTAATAGTTATTCTTGATGATTAATATAACATGTATACAAATCAAATTTCCCCAAAAGTATCTTACTCTCAGGAATTCATACTGTTAGGAATTAATCATGCAAAGCTCTTTGACCTGTGGCCCAATTCAACCCAGAACTGCAACTGTGCTTAGCACAGGATCAGGGACTCAGTTCACTTCCTCTACTACTTCCACTGAAGATACCCATATAAATGGAGACTATTTCTGTACGTAAAGGCTGAAGAACAGCATTCCATATCTGAAAATACTTTTTATTTTACTGTATAACTTCAAAATAGAAATAAACGCTTTAAACACTTAAAATTTATTACTGACATTAATTTAGCAAATTTCACACAGAAGTCAATTATCATAGAATCATAAGATAAGTACTTTAATGAGGTTATATATAAGCATGAGACATGATCAGATCTGGACCTGATGTATACTCCAGTGATTCCAGTACTGTATCTTCTCCTTCCCCAGAGAAATTCTTTAGAAGATTCACTTCGTTATTTACAGCAGCTGGATTTAGTCTTACATCTCTGCAATTAATAGAAAATAGGTTAAAATGTATTCATGAAAAGGATGTACTCAGAAAAAAAAAAGAGAGAATATTACATGATTTTTTCTTTTACACTGTGTCTTAATAGTAGCAATGAAATCTAGAAATGGACCATCTTCACTTGTTTTTCTTAATTTTATCTGTTAGTTTAAAATAAAAATAAAATTTTAGTTCCATAGCTAACATGAAGTCCTTGTAATTTCGAAACAGGCTCAATGTAATATGCTTAATATGCTTCCATGAAGAAATAAACATCTCCTTGAAAATATTTAACTTCGTTGTTTGTACAAATGACTTCAATTTGCTACCAAAATGCAAAACATACGCAATAAACAAACCACACTCACAGGCACACAATTCCATAGCCACACCTACAGCAAAATCTTCAGGAGAAAAAAAAAAATACTATTTTTTCAATTACCTAGTGAACAGTGAAAGTTATTTCAATAACTTTCTTTATGTCACACCAAAAGCACACACTGTGGGTTGAAACCAATCTAATTTAACAATAAAACAAAAAAATGCTCTGGCTGATATGCTTAGTTTCCAATTGAAATGCACTTACTGTGAAATTTGTTTCAAAGAACTATTAAGCAGTTGCAAATCCAGCTGATGAAGAAGAAGAAAGATTTTCATTTTCACCTCTGTTTCAGGGTCACCACCTTTTTTCACTTTCTCAAGTAAATGCAAGATGGACCTATCTTCTCCTTCAACAGTCCCATATTCAGGGCCAAGAATTTGTACTATAGGATCTCTGTTAGCTGTCAACACGAAACGGAATCATACAATGTGATACTGTGTTTAAATCTATTAGGCAAGACAAACACTTTTTATCTTTCTCACAACAAGATTAAGACTCGTGCAACAAAGAGGTGAATATTATATACTTCCCCTTATCAACAGCCACCTTCCCCAAAAATATGCCTGGCTGATCACAAAAAAAACCAGGAAATCAATGGATTTAAGTCACTGAAAATTGATCATTTTGGAAATACGATTTAGTGTTAAAGAACATCTTTAACGTTTTCCAGCAGCATTCCCAATGGCCCCATTACTTCCTTAGTTATGCCAGCTGTTCTTTTTGGTAAACAGTGACATAACTGCATGTCAATGGGTTTTACAAAACCATTTTGCTCTGTTCAGCAAATGAAGTCCCATGCATCTGTGAATGTCTCTGCACAATACCCTATCCATACTATTCTTCCATGTTATTCATTGGCCGTGACAGGACCCTGGATTATTAGATGGATCTACTGTTTGATCCAGTATGAGCATTTATATTTTAGTATTGCAAATGTAATTTCCAATTACCAAATTCCCAATTTTGAAATTTTCCTACTTTTTTCTAATTTCCCAATTACTGAATAATATTCCTAATCTCTTCTAGGTATGAGAGGAGGATATCCAGTTTAGCATATCAAGGGTCTTCTCGCCAATTTGAAAATATGACACACTTGAATATTTGGACTTAAGTATGACACACTAGAAGTACTCAGACCTTTATTTTAAAAGCCACTGTGAGAAGAACCTGGAAGTGCTCACTGTGAACCTTGTGCAAGTAAGAATGTCTTAAGCATGTAAGATTTTCTTTGGCTATTTTTTAAGGATGTAACATTTTGAAAGAAGGTTAAACTACAAATATATGAAAACTTGCTATTAGCCTCCAATAAGACATTCCTTTTCAGAAATCTAAACCTACTGCCTGCTGCAATAGCTAGGATATTACTCAGTATGTGTTAATTTGTAGATGACATTCAACAGTTTTAACTTTATTCCAGATTTCTCTGTTAGCGATTTCTGTGAAAACGAAAGAAGCATTCAGTTCTTTATCAGCCCTTTTAGCCACCTTCCCATATATTTAGAATGAAGGCATGCCTTTCTGCACATTTCATAAACATGAAGAAGACACAGTTTTCAGAAGAAAAGATTAAGAAAACAAAAGAAGAAAGGAAACCTTCAAGGCACGCCTGTACTTCCTTTAACTTTTTTTCCATAGCAATTTGTAACACGCAGGACAGCTGGTCAAAACTACGAACTCTGAGAGTTGATTTCGTAAGGAGAAGCAATGACTGGCCATCTTTAGCTCTGGCTTCAGACTGAACAGTTGCTTCACTAGAAAAATTAAATTACATCCTTTTAGAATAAGGCCTTTAGCAGTAAATTTTAGAGAACAATCCCAAATGTTACTCAAGCTTCACATGATAAAGCATATACAATTTCTTTAAACTGTATTTTAGAGAACTTGCAAGGTAAACCAATTTATTCACTTCAAATCTGCAGGTGGATGTGACCAAAAGAGGCTGGGAACCCATGGAGAGCCTGCCTTGGAGCAGTGGCAGGACCTGTGACCCAATGGAGAGAAGAGCCCATGCTGGCAGGATTTGTGACCCCATGGGGGACCCACACTGGAGCAGTCTGCTCCTGAATGGCTGCACCCATGGAAGGGAACCACACTGGAGTAGTTCATGAAGAATTGCAGCTCATAGGAAGGACCCATGTTGGAGTTCATGGAGGACTGCCTCCTGTGGGTGAGACCCCAAGCTGGAGCAGGGGAAGGGGGTGAGGAGGAAGGAGCATCGGAGACAATGTGCAATGAACCAACAGCAATCCTCAGTCTCCATCCTCTGTGCTGCTTAAGGGTGAGGAGGCAGAGAAAATCAGGAGTGAAGCTGAACTTGGGAAGAAGGGAGGGGATGTAGGAAAGGTGTTTTAAGATTTACTTTTATTTCTCATTATCCTACTTTTGATTGACAATAAATTAAATTAATTTCCGTCAGTCAAGTCTGCCCATGACAGTAATGGGTGAGTGATCTCCCTGTCCTTATGTCGATCATGGATCTTCTGTCATATTTTTCTCCCCTGGCCAGTTGAGGAGGGAGAGTAGACAGAGTGGCTTTGGTGGGCACTTGGCATCCAGCCACACAGGAGCCACTCCTAACATTAACATAAATCACAGGGTTACTCACTGTTAGATGCTTATTGTAAAAGCCTTAGGAATAGAGAGTATAAGATGTATACATCACTAACTAAATGGGTCTGTATCACATCCAAGAGAGAACAGTCTCAAACTCTTGGAGGG